TTTTTTTTTTGGGGGGGGGGTGAACTAATCCTTTAAAAACATTTTTTAATCATCAAACAAAAGCAGCTATAATGAGCTGCTGAACATAGAGGAAGATTGTCAATGTTTGAAGGCTTCTTCAAACATTGACAAATTTCTACACCATCACAATTGTCAATTTTGAAGAGATCACTGCCAATATTGTCTGACATGTTTGAGTTTTTCTAATGTCTTGCTGCAGAGGGAGGTTTGGACTATCACTGGGATTCCTGTTTAAAAGGTTACAATCAAGTTAACAAGGTAAAAGTTCACAAAGGCTGCGTAGAAATGACTCAGCTGCTAACCCAAAACCGGGTTTGTGTTTGTTGGGAAGCCCGCTAGCAGTGAATCCATAAATCACATGAGCTTTTTCTTTCTTTGTCCCCTGTTGATTAACCCCTGACCTCACCACACGCCCCCAGCCCCCGCTGCAGAATCAGCCTCACCAGCTGTCCAACAGCAGCGAGGCAGACGAGACGCAGGGCCCGCCTGTTCTCGCTCTGTGCCCCGGCCAGAACTTCCAGGTGTCGGTGTTGGTCTCCCACCTGCTGGTTGCTCGGGCTTACACCTCGGATGTGCTGCTGCAGCCGTATCTGTCCAGCTGGGACGAACTTGTAAAGTAAGAGCATCAGTTAAAGCTTCGTCACAGAGACAGAAAAATTAGCTTGAAAAGTATTCATATCCCTTGAAATTTTCACAATTTTTCACGCTACAACCTCAAATTTCAGGTTGTTTTAATGGGATTTTATGATAGAGTAACAAATGCTTAAATCATTATAACTTTTCATTTAATTTTTAACAATTTTAGACCAGATATAACTGTGCAACTGTTTTTTCTGTCTTTTACCTAAAATACTAATAAAAAAATACTTAGAAATGTCTGGTTTTTAGGGACATAAAGCATTAACTAGATAACAGCAACAAGGTGCTGTACATATGAACCCACTTCTGGCACTGATTATTTCTGTTCTTTGTCTCTGTCCCAGGTTCATGGAGTCTCTGGGCCCTATGGTTAGTTTAATATCAAAGGAGATAGAGACTAAGACTGCTATAATCCGCCAACTGGCCCTGCTTTCTGAGAAGGGCCCAGAAGAAGAGTTTGTCCCAGACATGCACTCAGAAAACTTTGAAAACTCACAAACTGCGGTGAAAAAGTCTGCTGGGTATTCGCAGGATACGGGGGCCTACCACTCGGTGCGCTCAATGATTTGGACTGAGCTGAATCGAGGCATAGTCGATTTCCACCACCAGACAGACTCAGGATGCCGAACCCTTCTGCGACTCCATCGAGCTCTGCTCTGGTTGAAACTCTTCCTGCAGAAGCTGGCAGAGACGCCGACGGCCGGACGGCTCAGGAGTCCCTCGGATCTGTGTCGGGAGGCGTACCAGAACACCCTGTCTCATCACCACACTTGGTTTGTCCGGCGGGCGGCCGAGTTGGCCTTCATTGCCCTGCCGGAGCGAGGATTTTTCTTCAGGCTGGTGTGTGTGCAGAACCAGGAGGAGCTGAGCGTGGTGTTAACCAGAGTAGTTAACGCCATTGGAGAAATCTATGACAGGACACAGAAAGCACTGGAGGAAAATGGCATGCTGGACTTACCTTGACAATGTGAATCCTCTTTTTGTCTTTGAAATCACTGTTAAACTTTCAATTTCAATCAAAAACGAAGCAAACCTTTCAAAACCAGCTGAGAAGACTATTACTGAAGTCAAAAGATAAACAGTCTGAGCTTATCATCGAATTACCTTTGAGATAATTTGATGAAACAGATGACAAACGGAGGCACCAACTCATTTAATCGAGTAAAAACACCATTATAAAAGCATCTGCGTAAAGCATTTAACAAAGGAAGCAGTGTTTTGTGACTGAATCAGACTTTAATGGCTCTTGTTTGTGTATCTTCCTCTGCCTGTTAGGGCACTTTTCTATGGATTAGATAATAACTGCCTGATTAAGTGTGAATAATGTCATGCGCATTGATTTTGTACGCTGATGCCAACAAATTGCCACAGCACCAGTCTCCCATGATGAGAGAGGTCTCATGTGAAACAATGACGGCATGCTGCATTTTAGAGTAAATGTGCCAACATGGCAGACAATAAGAACATTTTCTGTCATACTTAGAAAAATTAAGATTTAGTAAGACAAGAAAAAAAGTACTTGGCAGTTTAAAAAAATAAAAAAAATGCTGCAAGAAGCCAAAATATGCAACTGTATACATTAATCCAGGTCTGGATGAGTCTGAAAAAAAAGGTTGTCCCTTTATTCATTCCTGTATGTTTTTTTTTCCCCCTTCAGGTTAGAAGAGGTTAAAATGTGTTAAATGTAGCAACATTGTCATCAGAGTCTGGAAAAGTATGACATTTTTACCTTGACATGCTGATCACCGTTGTAATGTGATCATTCATCCAGCAGAGGCTCCAGTACTCTACTTTGGAGTAATCTTTCTTTTACAACCCTGACAGACTTATACAACATAAGATCATGTAATACATCAAAGAAAAATAAATAAATAGGCTTTATGCATTCAGCTTTCTTAAAGAAAGTATCTTGCAACTAGCATTCACTGGTTTACATCATACTATTTTAAAAAACTTATAATGCTTCATAATCCTCACCTCCTGCCTTTCCTTTCATTGCTGTCTTTCTAAGGAGGAGAGAAAAGAAAGGAGGGCTAAAGATATAGCTTGAAACCATGGAAGAGAGCTGAAGCCATTCTTTATAACAGCATTTACATGAAAAATATGTTAGATTGTATTATTATGATCCTACATCAGATTATATGTCTAAGTTTAAGCAGTTTTCTGTTAAAAAATAAATACAGAGAGTGAATTTTGACTTTCACCATAATAACTTAGTTTAAAAAGTGTACATATCCCACCAAGTACCACTCATTCTATTTCATAGCATCAAAAGGCGAAAACAAAACTTCTACTATTTAAGATTATCTCCAAATTTCAGGGAATGGTTTTGATTTTTTTTTTAAGGGAGATTCTGTTAAAATATTATAAGCAGTCCATATCTTATCTGCAGTATATTGTCCTCTTGGTGTCTTTAGCTTAGCATAGACCCAGACTGGTTGGAGCAACAAGCGGAAGCTAACGGCTAGCTAGTCCAAGAACAGCCAAGACCAAAGCAAACTCGTAACTTCTTAAAGCAACGGCAGTCTTAGAAATCTCCCAGTTTTTGTTTTTGTTTTTGTTTTTTGTTTAAGGCCGTTTTATAAACCTTTAAACTGTTGCCATGTTTGAATTGGACAGTTACTTACAGAAAACCTGATACGAGAAAAGGAGGTACGAGTCGGTGCATCGCTAATAGTCTTCCTGTAGGAAACAAACATATAGTAAGAAAGATACATGTGGGATATTATGGATAGAGTTATTGGCTGATTTAAAAGTAAAGCGGAATATTTTAGAGGTTTAGGTAAACTTCTACCTCCTACCTTTATTTCCTTTCAAAGCAAACATCAATTTCGGTGTAAATAATACTCAATGTAAACATGATGACTGAATAAAGGTACAACTGCTATGATGTTTTTGATTCTGATCCCTCCAGACTTATTGTTACACTCAGTGTCCAGTGTAAACTAATATGAAATTAAACTAAACTAAAATAGTTAAATCACGAATTACTTTCAACTATATGACTGACTGTCACATAAAAAATTGTGTACTACTACTTTAACAACTCTAATCTAAAAAAGTGTTGAAACTTTTTTTTTGAAACTTTAAATACTTGTCACATTTGCGTGGAATTGCTATGTACCACTGAGATTATTTTGAGTGAGATTACAGAATATATTTACAAACAGACTCATTTGACACTTCTTGACTCCTTCTTTTTCTCTTGAAAGTATAATACATTGTTGCAATATCACAATCATCAGATAATGCGACAAAACAATCCAAATACTTCAGTAAACATGAAGCTAAGATGCAAGAAGTAAAACCAAGTTTGAGTTCCCTTAAATGACATTTATTTATTTATTTATTTTTTATCTTTACTTAAACATGAGCAAAAATAGACATAAGGTAAGAGCCAAAAATATGGATCCAGCAGGACAATTTATTTATTTTTCATAAATGTATATTTTAGGACAATTCTTTGAACCACAATCATAGCAACAGTGCAACTTTAAGGTAGGTGTGGGTGATGATATTTCTCATATTTATTCACTGTTTGAATCATGAATTTCTCTCCAACACTTCACACTGTGCAGCTTTGCAGTTTCTGAAAGTGCTTCGAGGGTTAAAGTCCTGTTAGAACTTTTGATTGCAAGCTTTAAAAGCTATTTATTTTAAAAATATTAATTAAACAGAAAAAGAAAGACTCAAACGATGGTAAAAACGTTAAATGCAAGTCTAAACAAATTTCTGGCATCTTGCCTTTTCCTTGAATTAAATTATGAAACCTCTTCATGTAGCTTTCATCACACAATACAGTTCAAACCTTACATTCTCGTCTCGTTACAGCAAAAATACTCTTTCATTCACGAAGCATTTTATTACTCACTTTTTTTTCATATTGGCTGCATTATGCTCACAAACGTGGTCCTTCTTTCCCCCTTGCTCTTGAATGTACCGAATGTTGCCTTTCCTCTGAACAATCACACATTTGCACAGGAGATAAATATATATTGCTCTTTGATAACATCTCCAAATTAGCACAGGAAAAAATAAAGGGATAAATTGAGATAGCAGGAAAGAACATTCTGTGTAACTGGAGGACAAAGATGTCTGTCCACCAGGAGGCACTGTTTTGCTGCAGGGAAACATTTTCCGCTTGTGTGCGTATCTATTATTATATGACAGGAGGCCTTCATGATTCTGTGGGTGAGATTTTTGCTCAGACCAGCAAATGAGCATCTATCCGAACTGCAAAAATAGATGATGTGTAAATTATCATTAATATCTTTGGCAGAAGAAGTAATGTTCAAGTATGAATGACAAGAAAAAAGAGTGAAATTGACGGATGAAACCAAACATTTGACTAGATGGATTGCAGTATTGACTGGATGTGAGTTTGAAAGTATGGAAAAGCTATCATAAGAGAGTAGCTTTAAAGCCGTGAACTGGGCATTTGATGCTCGGTACATGAACGACAAAGTAGGGTAAAGAAGTTCAGCGTGCCTGCTTTGGATTAGTTGACCAGATTAAGAGATTACAATGAAATTAAGTAAGAGCTGAAAGCAGGCCAGAAGAAGAGTACATCTGAATCTGTCAGTGAAGTCCCAAAAAGCTAAAAGAGGAGAGCATGTTAAAGCACATCTTAGATAAAAATTTGATGATTAATGGTCCCTCTCGGCTCAGATAAAAGGTTCTGTTTGGACCTTTGTGAGATTCAGCAGCAAAGAGAACAATAATATGGACAAGCAGAGTCAGATCTTACTTGGGTTTCTGTTAAGAGCATCCACCGTATTTTGGTGCCACTGGTAAAAATTAGCAAAAAGCCCTAAAATAAATAAATAGTTTCATAATATGGCATTAAGAAATGTAAAAAAAAAAAAGAAAAGCCAACTTTGAATTTGATTACATTATGATGGTGCCACAATTAGTGGTAATATTAATAGTTCCTATGAAGCTTGTTTATGTAAGTAGATGAGATCACCAGGAACTTTTAATTAGTAGTCCACATTAATCTTTTTCCTAGATCGCCTAGATACACTGAAGGCCTTTTTTTTTACCCGTGGTATAACATTCTGTGATTGGTTTTGACTTTCACATGTCAGGAAGTGAGATTTTTATCTTTTAAACAACAGAATATGATATAACATCCGGAAACGTAACTATTTTTTCCTACTCATTTTTTGTTTTTCCATACATGTCATGAAAGATTATCAAATCAAATTCCTTACTACTTCAGAAGAAGTGATTTAAGCTCTTTATTCTATAAAAAAATGTTTTTAGTAATCCATAGCTTCTATTTTTGGGGGATATAACACAGAGATCAATTTCTCAAAGCCACTGTTCAAACTGGGAAAGACAAGAGTCCATGCTGTTCAAAAGCAGCAGATGATGTGTTGATCTGAAAAAGTCAGGATGTAGCTACAGCAGACCAGGGAGGGATCATATGGTCACCAAGTCTCTGCAGCAATATCTCCTTTTCTAAGGGTCAACAATTGTTAAGGATGCTATACATGGCTGGCCAGTATTACAGTTGAGTTTTTACAGATTTGTCAGAATAATATTTAATCTTTCAGGCAGGTTTGTGGGACGGCACAGCACAGTGGATGTGCACCAAAACTCAGGCATGATAAATGACTTTTAATGGAGGTGATACTGGTTAGATATTCATTGTGATGATTTTTCTCTCATACAGCAGAGAATAAAACAAGAACAACAAAACAAACTAATAAATCAACATGTAGTCACTGTACATCTGAAAGCTTATTGAGTATTTTCTCACAGAAGCTAGTGAGGATGTAAGCAAGTCATGGGAATGTTCAAGATCAATATGCTGCATAGTGATGACGAGTGTGGAAAAAGAAAGCAGGGAACAAAAAAGAAAAAAACAAGCTGTCTACATCCTCCTCCTCCTCCTCCAAAAACTGCAAGTGCTTTTATTAAATCAACTCAGCTTCACAAATGAAGGAATAAAAAGCACACTTCCAGTGCAAAACAATTAAAAAAAATCTGACAATGACATCTATTCCTGGTATTAAGGAAATAGATGCAAAACACTCAACAACAACAACAACAAAAAAAGAGACAGAAAACTAAATATTTAGGTTTGAATAAATAAATTACACCAGACATATAGCTTTGGATGAAACTGTACAGTGAGAGGAAATGAAGTACCACTAAAAACTGAATATATGATGGAAACGAGTAAAATTCATCTTGGTGAGTTGGCTACAAAAAAAAAAAAAAGATAAAAAAAAATCTTTAATGAGCTAATTCTGATTATCTATTGGACAAGTTTACTACCTTAAAAAAGTGTTTTCCGGAGATTTGTCTTTTCATAATTAACTCAGTGTTAAAACCACACCAGATATTGTTCCTATTTGTTTTGTTAGCAGCTGCTCTGAGTGCAAAGTTTAAATATCCAGGGTGAATGATCTGCAACAGGAGCCGTCTGATGAATGAATGTGAGCATTCATAATGTATGCCACTTAATGAATATTGCACATTGCATGCAACTTCCCGACCTACAATTAGAAATGGAATCTGTAAATGAAATGCACACATTCATACACGATAAAAAAAAAAAACATCCAATTTTTAAAGATATGCTTCCAAATACACACACACACACACTCGGAGTGCATGAGGGTTAAAGCTTATATTGTGGTCCCTCCTGGTGGTCAGTTACTTAACCTGTCCTTAGCTGACTATGGAGCGGTGGGAAACAGTGTGCCTTCAGAGCACACTTAAGACAGCACGCACATGCAAATGGCTTCATCTCTGCATCCATCTATTGAGAAAAATGCAGGTTTGTAGGAGTACTCTTTTTAAGTGAAACAGAACAGACGGACCGATATAAGGTTATGATGCCATATAAATACTGTAGATATACACCTTTTGTATTGTAGTCTGTGTATATTCAGATATATAGTAGGAATACTCTCGAAGGAGGCAGCGGGAGGTGAGCAGCAACACGGTAAACGTGGTAAGGTTGCTCGCAGATTTCGAAAACACATCCTGTTTTATGTCTCCTAGTTTATCATGCAGTATAAATAGAGGTCACCTCAAACTAATTTAGAGAAAATCATTTGTCTGAACGCTCACCGACAGAAACAAGGACAGCATTTACCACCCTCTCGTGCTCAATTTACCCTGTCGCACAATCCCCTTTCCCCCAAAAAAAAAAAAAAAAAAAAAAAAAGAAGAAGAAGAAGAAGAAAACTGGAGCAGGGTGCAATCGAACCACGTGAAGGATGTGAATACTGCAGGTTTATTTTTCAGTGTATGTGCAGTGGTGCAGAAGATGTGGGGGGGATGGGGGGAAGGGTGTCAGGGGGAGAAAAGTTTTCATTTGGGGCCAGGCTAGTTTTGAGAGTTGATCCTCAGCTTGAATGACACTCTACCAGCAAACTTGTCTCTTTCATTTCCAGTGGGAATGTTGTTGGCGTGGATCTTGCACTCGATGTTGACGTCTTGATTGACAGTGATGTTAAGGAACTTGACAGCGACCAAAGGCTGGGAGTAGTTCACCTGCAATGCCAGACCAAAGGCGCATTTTCTAAAAATACAGAGAAATCTGAAAGCATTTCAGAATTTAGACTGTCCATAGATTGAAAATACTCTCCTACCTGAGCTTTCTTGCCATAGTAAGGGTAGTACATTAGATCAAAAGTGCCGTTTGAAGGGAAGTAAATCATCTCTCCGATTTTGTCAGAGTCATCTCTCTAAGAGGGAGAAACAGCTCTATCAGTTATAACAATGCTTAAGTTATTGTCTTCTTTTTTCTGAACTGTGTTTAAAGCACATACCAACTACCTACTTCAGGTCTATTTAATATGAGATTGTAAACTACAGTTTTCTAGGTTCTTTACAAATAACCTTTCAAAAAAATGTGCCATGCATCTGCATTTAACTCCACCGAATCAAGGTCTTGTACCTTTTGTGGCAAATAAGGCTGATTGTTTTTTTTTTGTTTGTTTGTTTGTTTTTTCTACCAGCTTCACTTACCAACAGACTGAAATTTTTGCAATTTTTGTTTCAAATTCAAAAGTAGTTTCTTAATCCCAATGTGAAATTAGTTGTTGTAGTAACTCATATTATCCAAGGTTCTTCAAAGAGTAGCTGTGGGCAGGAAGGATCTCCAGCAGAATATTTTCTTTCTTCTAAACAAAAGGGGATTTGGACATTGTGTCTGTAGGTTCGCAACAATTGAACTGATGACATCACATGCGTTGTCAGAAACAGCTTAGCGTATAATTTAAGTGTTTCCCAAAATAACAGTGGTGAGCTCTCTTGGAAACTTACGGCGATGAGTTTGATATCTGTGCTTGCGAGGCGACACGTCACAGTAACGTCCTGGATTATTATTTATTTAAGTGTTTCAGAGTAAAGGGGATGATTACACATGCATGGCACGCTGTTCAGATTTTTATTTGTAAAGATTTTCAAAACGATGTATTATTCTCCTTCCACTTCACAGCTATGCAAAAGTACAAAATGTAGAAAAAGTTTGAGAGGTATGTATATTTTTTGAAAAGTACTGTAGTTAATCTCTACTTTCCAAGCCACTTCTAAGCATCTACATTTCACTATGTGCAACTTGTCTGTTGATCTTACCCATTCATCTTTGCCAACTCTGTATTTCTGAGAGGGAATAGTTTTATGGAGTGTAATAGGAGCATAAAAGGACACCAGGAAATTTATAAATAAACACAAATATTGCTGAAACAATGCAAAAATTAGGAGGAAAATAAAGGGGATAGCAGAAGATAGGCATACTGCAAATGAGAGGAGCTATGAATGGGCCGGACTCCAATTTGTCATGTTAATCCTTTCATTGTGAAGGACAAAAAGGGATTACCTTTGCGCCACAGGTGACAGACGGAGCCTGTCCGTCCTTTCCTGGCATCAATCCAATCACCTGGCGAGGCAGAAAAGAAAGAAATGCAATTCATATTTTATTGTCAAATCACAGGGAGAACAAAAGCAATCTTTCACATTGTGCTATGAAGCACAATGGATAAGTGCCACTCTTAACCCAGACTTTTCTCCTTTGTAGGGTATTTTTCTCTCCCCGTCTGCTTTGCTTTTTTTTTTTTGATGTTTCCTCAATGTCTCCTAGCAACAGCATCCATTTCCCTTCCCTTCTTTTTCCTGTCTTTCATACCCGATTCAGCTTGATGATGATGCACGGCTTGCCCTCCTGGTATCCATAGTAACGGTCGTGGAGTCCAGAGCATGCTTCCAGAATGGTTCGGTTGAACTGACAGGAGCGCTTGGGGTTGTTCTTCACATCGCCGCTGTCCTCCTGCAGGAAGTACTGTTCCGGAGTGCACTCGTGGTTCTTCTGGGCCTGGATGGAGTCGTTGTAAGCTGCAGGGAGCGGAGGGGGGGAGGGAGGTGGAGGGTTACTCGGTTTGCGAAGCCTCATGACTCAACTGAAACTCTGCCGCAAGGCAGCCTCCCACTCACTGATGGTAAAGGAACGATCCAATATTAGAAAAGCGCAATTGGATAATCCACAGCTGTAAGTCAACTGAGTCGGACCAGCAGAGGACGGGAGTCAGACTTACGTGACAGGAACCTGTCCAGGGCCTGAGCGTACATGTCCCAGCTCTCGGTGTTCTGGATGGTGTAAACTATCTCGAAGGTTTCGTCCTGACGGGGTCTAATCACTAAACCTGTGAGAAACAAAGATGCAGCAGGAGTGTCATGGCGACTCACAAAAGCGGGTTCTGCATCCATGCCGTTTGAACCTGCACTATCTGGCACCTGGTGTGGAAAGGCGGTCCTGCCAAGTGGGTTTGTGGTCATCCAGGGTCTGCAGCATGATGTACATGGTAAGAGCAAACAGGCCCCCCAGGCAGAGGTAGAAAACTATGTAGAACAGAATGATGAGACCTGAAAAAACAGAAAGAAAATGTTGTTATGTTATATATAAGCTATGTTCCATCAATGAATCAAAAATTAATCTTGCTCTGAGCAAAAGTTTCTCTGTCAAATCTAAACCCTAAAACAATAAATATATGATTTTTATGACAAACTTTAATAGATGTTTGTAGCTTCAATGTAAAGCCTGCACATTAACTCTTAATTTTTACCAATAAAATGATACAGACTAGCTCCCTCAATTCTTGTATTTAAAACTGCTTATGTCTATATCATTACTCTAGAGTTTTTAAGTTTTTCATACTTTATTAACTTTATGCAGAACATTTGGGTCATTCTACTCCTCTGATATTTTGCTTTCCTTCTCTTTAGTTTGGCATTTTATGCGACCATATGACCATATCCATTATTTGCCATCGAGTCAGTCTGGGACACAACATGGTCAAATGGCTAAAGCTACGATTTCAGATTGCTTAGGTTTAGGTGGAACCCAAACACAAGCATTTGCAATTATTTTTTTAACTGGCAAAAACCATTGTGAGATGCTTTAAATTATTACTATTATGAGAAGCTTAATACTAAAGACAATGAAAATACAACAATGCATTTCCAGAAAATAAAAGCAAAATATCAACACTGGAAATCAAACACATTTTATATTATCTTGATATGATTATCACCAGAAAACAAAGAAAAACAATTTATATGAGCCCCTAACGTCACATGGTTCAGATACTCAGGAAACTATTGCTGATATGACTGCATACTTAGCTCTACACTTTAATTTACTTTGAGTCTAACTGAGCAAAAGTCTAACTCAAAAAAAAAAAATAGTTTCCCTGGCTTATGGGGTTCAAATCAAAAGTTTTAAAGAGCTCTTTCTAACTATTTTCCTGTCCTTCCTGTCCTGCAGAGACCCAGGCAGCAGAAATAGCATTTTCTGTGACGCATTAACACCTGAGGCCGACACTGGGAAGCAGCTGAGTGCCCTGACCCTGTGCTTCAGCTGGAAGCCCCCAGCGAAGCCCTCCGTCAGCAGCGGCATGGCGTCTGCCTCCCTGCATAAAGCAACGCTGCCGCTAATCCATAGCAAAATGTCAAGGGGAAGCTGATCCAAGGGAGGTCAATTACAGAAGAGTTCCTTAATGATTCAAAGCCCACGTGGGTGTGCTTTTCATCCAGTTGTTTTCAGAAACATTCAACTCGTTGCCACATTAAATCAAAGTGAAAATTGCAGACGACGACTTGTTTGTCGAGGAAGACGATGTTAGCCGACGAGTCAGCGAGCAGGATAAGAGACATTTGGACAAAGAAGCGATAGAGCAAAGTGCTGAAGCGTTTTCCTTTTGTCTCCCCAGGGGGTTAGGCTGTGCTGACTATGTGACACCACCCAGGGGAGACTGGACGTGCACAATGGCACACACACACACGAACAAACGGGCATCCCTCACACTAATGTAAAGAGGGTGTTAGGTTCACACTGTGTCCTCTGAGTGCGCACTGATGACAGACAGTCAAACATCTCTGTTTCAGCCATTTGCAAACTGCAAATGAATGCAGTCTGGGCCCAACTTACTTTTTTAGGAGGCATTACACTAATCTGGAAGATCATGCTGGTAATTGCATCGTAACCTGATACGAAACTGTCTTCTGACTCAAAAGGCCAAAGGAAAGACATTAGAAAATGAAATCAGGGTTTATTGGTTTTAATGTTTTCCAGTCTCACAATGGGAGTGTTAAAAATTTGCCTCTCTGACGTCGCAGTAAGGGTTCTACCTTTTTTTTTCTTTTAACTTTATTTCAGAAATGGTGCAGAAAACCAAATCGGTCCTGTTTTAAGTCCAGGCTCAAGCCTATCTCATCATCAGCTGGTGGACCTTCATCAAGGCCGTTTTCATTTCTCCACAGCCCTGCACACAAAGCGAAACATGCAGAAGCTTGTTTCATGTTTTAGCCTGAAAGGAGGCTTTGATCCAGCGTTCTGAAGCAACGTTACCCAGCTTCATGAGCCGACACAACAAATTCAACAGCAACACGTTCAATTAACTTATTTTGAACTAAACAAAAATAAGGACTATGCTTTTCACCAACTGTTTACAATCATGCAAATAAGAATAAATTGGAATATATACAATTTTTCAATCTTAATGGTGTGACTTTATTCCCAGTGTGGTTCTGTGAAACGCCAAGTGAAGCCAGCCTTTAATAACTCACAACGGAAATAGACTAATTACCAAGTCTTAGAGAGCACAGATTAAAAAGGCCATCAGACCTTGGAGCAACGGGAACAAACTGAGCTGGATTAAGTTTCCTCTGTGGGAGACAGAGCCGGCCCAAGGCACATGCAAACTTTAGCAGCTCCTCAAGGCATCCAGACCACCAGGGGCAGCCTGGGACCAATCATTGAAGAAGCCTATGTTTTTGCTTCATAGTTTTATAAATAAATAAAAATTAAAAAAAAAAAGATTAACATCTGAAATTCTACTATTTCAGACTCAAAATATACTAGCTGTCATAATATGGAAGAAAAGTGATCAAAAATCATGATTTAATCTTGCGAGTTTCATCAGTTTGCCTGCATGTGTCTGTGTGGCAGTCCTTCCTGCTACATAACAGCAAATTAATCAAAGAATAAATTATGACTCCCAACAAAAGAAGGCAATGACGACCGATTCTCTACTCTGCTCTGGTGGCATCAAGTCAAAAGTGCCAAGAATATGCTGTTGAATAAATATTCATTTAGTTGGCAATTTTGGAAAAATAAGCTTTAAAAACCAAATGTATCTGCTATTTCTAATATATCAAACCCAAAAGGAGCAGATGAAACTTGAACTCATATGTTCAAAGAGTTTATCTTTATTTATATCTAACAACCTTGTTAGAGGTACATATTTTTCACATTTATCTACATTATCACACATATAAACATGTAGTGAGCATATTATTTATTTATTGGGCAGTAGCACATTTGGTTTTGGACATCAGATATATAAATAAACCTTTTATAACCTGTGTGTAGGTAGTAGGACATAAACGCAGGGACAATACGGAGACTTTGAAGTCAAAAGATCAAAAATTAAAATTGTTCTTTAAAGTCCTTTGCTTTGCCAGAACATCCTGAATTGATACCTTCTTCATCAGCCAATGAAGTCATTAGATTAGGATTAGATCTCTCTGCTGAACTGCACAGGTCGGGAGGGGCCGGGTTGAGGGTGATACAAATAGCATTTGGTCCTCGGCTTTACCCAGATTAAAATGCCCCCAGTGTTATTAGAACGCGGCCATATGTGTCCTGCCGCTTCATGGATCTTTAAAATAGTTGCAAGGTCTCTGTATGCTGGGGGGCTTTCAGAAAGTTTTAGGGGCGATAGAGAGGAGACGGGTGGGGGGGAGGGGGGGACGCTCATAATCTCACGTTAGCCGACTAAAAATCGAAAGCCAGAGAATTTCAAGGATTTTTTATCTTGTTGCTGTTTATAGGTTCTGGGGGGAGGGGCGGTGCATGATGCAACACTGGCATACAATACAAGAGTAAAAACTGACATGAATAAATAAATGTCTCTACAGCTCAATCCCAGTTTCCTACATACTTATTACCTCCAAACAAACCACTTTGTACCATTTGTACATCATTGCATATCAGTTTATTTGACTTGATGGTTAAATATTTTTAATAGCTTATATAGAATTTTTATTATTGGGGTTTTTTGATGGATATAATCTGCAGATAAAACATGTCAGTCAGTGGAAGACGCCATGTTTTCATTTGCTGTGGGACTGAACCTGTTTGGTCAAGTCGATTTGACCCACTTGCTCTAATGAAATATGACACAAATCAAAGCAAATAACTCCTAGTGATTTACTGAGTAATGGAGTTTGTAGAGGTTTGCTTAGAGGAAACTGTAATTTGTATATTTTTTAAAATCATTTACAGATTACCAAAGGCAGCAATGAAACATCTTGTGAGTATGACCCACATCAGAAGTCTCCATTTTGGAAAAAGTCAATTAGAAACCAAAGCGAGCAGTAGTTAATTTATTGCACCTTTATTTCTTCTCTTGTTCATAAATAAAACTAGACATATGAGACTTCATGACAGGGGGCAGCAAGTTCATAGGAGGGGCCATTGGCCCCGACGTTGGCAGCGCCCATGTCTAAGTGGCATTATATTAAGTTGTGAAAAAACACAAATCTCGTTGCGTCATGTTGTACCCACATCTGACGAAGATACATGTATGAAAAGGAGTTTCAATTCCTAGAAAAAGGGCTTATCTGCAGCAGGGTTCAAAGTAAAGCAATGACAAAGTAGAGCTGTTTTAATCTGGACAAATCGCATGCAAAAGGGAGGACAGAGCATGACTTCACCCGTACGAGCCAGGAAAAGCTCTGTCCTATATTACTAATAGCCCGCCATGAGGGGAATAATGTGCCGGCTTCTACGAGATTCTGTGCCGCAGTCAGATTTCAGCACCACGGCATTTGGACAGCGACTCAATTCTCGTTGCCTGAACACTCGCACCAATAAACTTCTGCAAAGACACAATTCTAACGCTGTCACGCGTTTTTTTATATATATATAGGGAATTTAAAAGCACTCCCGTGTCGCCCGAGGGGTATACTCCACGACAACGACCTGTTACAGAGCCGGGGGAGCTTGTTTGCTGCATTGCTGTAAGCCGGACGGACTTACTCACCCCAGCTGCTCGCCGTTCTGCCCAGAAACTCCCTGGTCCTCGGGTTCCACAGAAACTCTTTCCATTCGCTTTTTTCTCCATCCTTTGCCATCTTGTCCTAAATTTATTTGTGTTTTTCCCTCGCCTCTAGAAGTTGCGCTGAAATTGTTCTACAGGAAAGGTTGCAACAACTGCCCGGTAAGACAAATAAGGAATATATATATATATATATATATATATATATAAAACAAAGAAGTGATGGACCCGAACGCCCAGTGCAAAACAGATGGTTAGAAATGAAAGTAAAAAAACTGTACAGTGGCCTGTCTGATGAGAGAGCAGCAGGACAGACCTAATAATAAGTGCCCTCCCCCCAAGCTCTAGTCTGCATGCCGCAGAGTTTTGATGAGTGGTGCAGAAATGTAGTGATACTGCGGTAAAGCACTCCCTCCGCCTCTCTGTACGCTTCACACACATCCACACACACACACACACACACCCTGAGTCTCATCCTCCCTCCCTCCTTCTGCAGGCTTAGCCAATCATCTGTTCTCCATCCTCACTCCTCGCTGTCCCGAGTCATGAGAGACAAGCCCAAAAGCAAATTGCGTGGCCAGCCGGGGTCTTGTTTTTTATTGGATCCGAAGCAAGAAGCATCATGTATCCGCACGACAAACAACAAATAATATCACCCGATAGTCCCACAGGGACCCCTAAAGGATCTACTTTAAAATACTCAGTCAGATTCTGTCTACTGGTTTAGTTACGTTAAATTAAATAATCATTAACACAAGGCTACAAATTAAATATAGAGTATTAAATGAGATTAAATACGTGAGGTTGTGTTTTTACAGTACATTACAGAGACTTACATACAACTTTTCAAGCCCTGATGCGTGATGAAACTTAAGACATTATGTCAAATAAAACAGAAAGAAAAAAACTACGTCAAGTTAAAACTTCGATCACCCCATGGGACCATTGAATGTGGTGGTTTGCGCAGACCCGCAAAGGGTGAGACGAGGGAGTGAAGATAGCGCCCTCATTTGGAAATAGTACGTACTGCAGGAGTGCGGAAGGAACACGGTGTCCCGCTCCTCCCCTTTGCTGCAGCTGCTGCAGTGTAATGCATGTTGCATAAAAACGTTTTCCAAGAGCCGGTCCAAAGTTTTCACGGGACCTCAAGTTGATTCGGAGTGTTCCCAACTACAATTAGACATCACAGCTCAACCGATATTCAGTTTCGTATTAATTATCAAAGTTGTAGGTTGTTATCATGACACAGCAGAAAAGTGATGTTAACCACTCAATATCCAAAAATGTGTTGCTTGAATCAAATTTACTCTACGTGATTTATGGGATGCTATGTGCATACAAGAAAAAGTAAATAAAAAAAGCAAACACTTTTTTCTTGCTTGTCCTTATAGAAATTCTGCTCTGGCATAAGAATTAGAAATATCCAACAGAATGCACCTTTTTCTGTTTCTTGTTTCTATAAAAATTGATACAGATGAAGTCAGTTCTTTGGCAAAAACAAAAATATTTAATATAGAAATTAAAGTCTGTAATCTGAGTGCACTGATTCACTTGTGTCATTTTCAATATCAAGCATGACAAGTTTTGTTTCGCATGATCACCACTGATCTGAAACCTGATTTGTGACAAATCTAGAGCACATGTGTTAAGATTCCTTTAAAAATAAAGAAACAGCCCTTTAAATTAAGCTAAATCTGAAGCTGCGATAAAATGCTCAGATTCACGAGCTGCAAAGTACAGCAACAGTTTGTATGTAGAGTTTCCACTACACAAAACAAACTTTATTTCCCATTACACTGACATGCAAAAGTAGATTAATATTTATTATTATTGCGTCAAGCATCCCCAGATCAAAATCCACCACCTGTGAGATCTAAGAAAGACCATGTAGTTCAAGAAACATGGATCCAAATGACTGGACATACTGGGCCAAAGAAAACGCTCAATGGCCCTTATTTCATTTTTATAGGAACGTGTGTTTATCTGTGGGATGAATGGATCTGCTGTAACGTCACAAATCAAAGCATTCTCTCCTTCGCATGCATTTCTCACTTTTCTCATCCAGTGTTGAAAATATTACATCAAATTCAAAACCGTTCCTGACTTTTCAAGAATGTGTGTAGAATCCATTGATTTGTTTTTCCAGGTATTCATTCATCCATCCATGCTTATCCGTGCAGGGTCACTCGGTGCATACAGGAACAGGGACCACTTTTGTTTGTTGTGTAAAGTTCATTATATAAAATTTATTTCCAATGACAATATCAATGCAAATATAGCACTACAGTGATTTCCAAGGTACACCGTATCTTACCATATCAATAGAGTATATGGCACTCATATAATGGCCACAGTTTCAGAAGACACACAAAACCAACAGCCTCTGTAAACTATTCTGGAAAAATGGTAGCCTGTACCTCGGGTATCGCATCAGTTCGTGACAATAAGGTGATTACTTGGTATTTAAAATCAAACTGGGCACAATAGGAAGTATCATTTGGAGCATTTCAGTGTAAGGAATCTCTGCATGCATTGCACTTGCCCATTTCCTCCAACTTGGCCTGTGTTTTTTATTTTTATTTTTTTATGAAAATGGACTCAAAAGGCTTAGAAAGAGAAAGAAAAAGAAAACCTCCAACACAAGCAGATGGACATAAACAAAGGGAAAAGGCCAAAGAGTGAGTCTTAAACATTTAAATAGGTCTTTTTTTCACGGGATGTACTGCACTGTACAGTTTGGTACTATAACTATTATTAAAAAATAATAGCAATTAAAAAAAACATCAACCAAGAGACATTCAAGCGCCTTAATACTATTACAGGAGAGCTGACTCTTCAAGGTACAAACTTCATTCCACGCGGCTTTCTGGAAACCCCCGACCCCAGAAAGAAAAAAAAAAAAAATAACAATAAGCATCATATTAATAATGTTTATCATGGCAACACTATGTAGTCCATTGAACAACACGGGTATTGAAATAGCAGCAAAGTATTAAAAATGTTAAGACCAAAAAAGCTGTTAAAATCTGTACATAAATAAAAGTGAATGTAGAAAAAGGGGATCGAATAAATAACAGAGCTTAAAGGGAATCTTGCATAAAATTATATAAACAACTGTTTGTCTTTGTTTTGTTTTTTTCTCTCCAGAGGGCTCATTGTTTATAAGTCGAACAATAAGTAATGCATGGGCTTTCTGCATCAGGTACTTAATTCTCTTAGTAAAAAAAAACAAACAAACAAAAAAATAAGTGAACAAAGTTATGTTTATACAGTCTATGCTACATAATATGTATTGATTACAAGTATGAAAATGGAGATAATTGCTACATTTTCAATACACTTGTACATGTCTATTTACAGTACATCAGGGTTCTGAATTTCTCCTCTAAGCGATGCTTTGTGCAGATTGTTCCAGCATTCGGGTTGAGGTGATCGATGCTCACAGTCTCATCAGCTGCATCGTGTTGCGCAGTCTTTGAGCTGATGGGTGTCAAGTGCTCGGTGGAACGGACGCTAATGTGCAACTGCGTTAAAAAGCATGAGTGATGACTGGAGTTTTGTGTACCGCTGATCTGAATCTGACTACACTCGGCTGGACTAACCCAGCCCCAGACTCGTCCTACGCAGTGGATTCATCTTTTTCCTACAACCACACAGGACCATATAGTTAAGATCTGTCGGACAGGATCCTTGTTTTCTCTCTCTCTTTTTTTTTTTTTTTTTTTTTTGTCTTACGGTTACAGCACTGCTTGTCTATTGGTGACATGCAGAGTATGACACAGTAAATATGACTTCTTCAAGTCTCAGATATGTATGTTAAGCTAGCTGACACAAGATTTATTATTATTATTTTTTAATATGTTGCTCAAGAGTTTGTTTTTTTTTCAGAGCGTATTGCTGTAAAATTGCAGAAAGGTCGAGAAAGTAAATAGATTTACATTACAAATATGCAAACGGACACAGTAGGTAGCTTTTACTTCTCGGTGATGATTATTTGCATCCACAATGACAATCTATTGATACCAAGACATCTCATATACATTCACGATTTTCAAGAAACACTTCGATAACTTATCTACGAGTCTCGTCTGCTCTCCTCTGCAGAGTAGTTTCGATGCTTTGTTGAAGAAAGTACATGATTCCCTTGTGTCTCAAGTAGTCAGGAGGATATTTGGCAACACCAATCTAGGAAAACAACCCACTCTGTATTAGCAATAATAAGTGGTGTTTTTAGTGGCAAAAAAATAACTTGTTGGCAATCAGAACACATCAGTGCAGTACGTAGTACAGAGAAAATACAAATCAGCCGGGTAAGAAATTAACTTAGTCTGATTGTAACTACATTTCTTCACCTCTTTTGTAGTCAAAGTTCAACTAACCAGTCCCTATTACAATAATAGCAAAGTTTGCATTTGATATGCAATCTGTCTTCCTTAAAGTAATTTCTCTCCCCAGACCATTTGAAAGATGATATTATGTAATCCGCTTCTCCTGGGGTCAGATAGCCGTGTCCCACACGACGGCCTGCGGCCTCTGACAGGGTGGCGTGCCAGTCTTACGAGGCTCAGGTGTCCGTCTCCAGCTAGGGAGGATGGGCATGCTGTCCTGCTTGCACAGGCTTTTGTCGGGCCGTCTGTGTGCCTTAATCTCCTTGCACAGGCAGCGCTTACGCTCGATGACTTCAAGCAGCTTGCCGTCCCTCTGCGTCTGCGACGTAGACGACATGGTGCCCCCGCCAGCGGGAGGCTGTCCCTGTGCCAGCTGGGCAAGCTGCTGGAACTGCAACTGTAGGTGGTGCTGTTGCTGAAGCTGCTGGAGCTGCTGCTTGAGCTGCAGCTGCTGCTGGTGGAGCTGAAGCTGCTGCTGCTGCCGGGACACGCCGGGGCCGCTGGGGCTGCAAGGAGCCTGAGCCGGGGCCACACCGTGCAGCTGCATGTGAAGTAGAAGGTGATCGTCAGCACATGGCTTTCTATAGTTTTAATGTCATCACAGTGCATTAATAAATGGACAGAATCTTTGCACGTGTTAAAAAAAAAAAAAAAAGGTTCACTTCCCATAGACAGCCACCAGGATGTGCTGTGGCTGCGTGTTTAACAGTTTGACGCTCAAACGTATGCAGACAGTCTCTGCAGCACAGTCAAACTGCGTCAGCACTTGCATTAGAGCCAGAAACTGGGCAAAAATGTGATGCTGGGAGACTGCAGTTCACACTCCTGATACAGCTGAGTGTGTTCTCACATCCGCAATGTATTCCTTTCTGACTGCTTCCATTTTTTTTTTTCTGTCGTCACATACCCTTTTTTTTTTCCCCTTCACAGACAAACCAGACCCTTATTCTGCTCGGTGGGCATAACTACCAGCTATAAATAGATCTGGAGGAGCAGTGTCTCCAGCAGAAGGGAGAAGTCGTAATGAGAGCAATATTAATGTTGACTTCAAAATAAACTGTGTTTGAAATTTACCAGCGTCTGCAGCTGTGATCCCAGATGTGATATATATTCACCTGATTTAGGGCTTCTCGTACTGGTAGACTGCTCTGTCTGTGGACATCTCCTCCACCCACCTGTCTGACTCCAGCAGCAGAGGAGGAGCGGCCCAGCCGCCCCACTTCTGCAAGGAAACAAACGTTACGGTGCATGCCAACTTATCAGGATATTAGAAGGAAACATGGTCCGATAAGGTGGACAGCGACGGTGCCCTCATTGTGTGTTATATTTCTTCTACTACTTGTACATTATTTATTTTTCAACCCAAGCAAAAGATTTAACCATGAATGTTTAACTAAAAATAGAACATAAACACTTTTACATTTGAAGTGTCCAAAAATAAATAAATTGTGAAAAGATAAGAAATGAAAATACGCTTGTGTGATTAATAAATATATTTCCCACAATATTAGGTGATTTGTGTGCCACACAGGATCCAACAGTAAATTTTAAATAACTGAGATAATCTTTCTAAGCATGTTTTATGCAACAACTTAAACAAGAGAAAATAACTACTGTACAGCGTCGTTCAGAGGTATTCATACTCCTTGCAGTGTTGCAACATGAATGCATTCATTTGTGATTTCATGATATCGACTAGGACAACCAGAAACAAAGCAATAGATGCTTTTCATAACTTTTTATCAGTAAATATTTGAAGACTGTGTCACAGATTAGAATTAAATTATCTTTACTCTGATACTCTTTAAGGTATTGTCTGAAAAAGGAAAGAATGCAGGACAATTGCAACCCTTCATGTAAGTGTGGGAGGATGAAAAGCAATTGTTGAAAGAAAGCAATGAGTTTTTTTTTTTAAGTCTGCCCCCCAAAAATACACAGATATTTGATCCTCTAATTTGATCTGGTCATTTTCAAGGGGTGCTAATACAATTGCAAGTCACCGCTCATCTATTATCAGGGATTCCTTCTAAACAAAATACTGTAACTAGTAGAAAACATCAGGTGTGCTTACCTCCGTTACGACAGGCAGGGAAGGTCTGGCAGGGAAGAGGAAGTCCTCCTCTGGGCAGCGCTCTGAATCCCGGGCTGCTGTCCACACCAGCTAACGACTCGCAGTGACCCAGAGCCCTGCTGGTGGCACCACTAAAGTGAACTGGGATGCCTGACTGGCCGCCTCGAGAGCCCAAACCGAGATCCTCCTTGTCCATCCTCAACAGTGCATCAGCACTGCCGTTCCAGGCCCGCCCTTCGTCCTCTGAATCAGGGAAAGGAGCATAGGTAAATGAAAGTGAAACACATTTATAATCACTGTATTCTTCTTCTTCCTTTTCCAGTCACTTAGAGGGGTTGTTCAAGATTCTGTTATAAGCAAATAATATGCTGTAGCAGGTAATTGTTTTGTCTTAATTTAGATTAGTTGATTTAGTGCCAGAGGGGCCAAAACTAAAGTGGACTTTATTCAACTTAAAACATTTAATGTCCCTGTAACAGCATGTGCAATAATATTTTTGGAAACCTGTAGACATTATAATATATATATTGTATTATGTTTATTTTTTTTTAACTGAGTCAACTATTTGTACAGGAAATGACAGTGGGAGTGGGTGTATCAGCAATAATCCTCCTGCTTGAAACGCGTACTGAGGATGTAACATATAAAGTGTAGAAAGCAGTGCAACAATTTAGCATAGCGTTAAATTAAATTGCTGTGAAACTTCACTTTGTTTCTTTTGATTGTTTTCACAGGACGTTGCTTTATATGAAAGCGTTTCTTAGAATCACCATTTTTGAAGATGAAGTTGTTAAAAGATGGTAGAAGTCATCGGTCTTGGTCTGTCTCAGACTACAAACCTAAGCTAATCTGGATTAGCTAAGAGAGCCGATTGCAAATCACCTGCATGATGACTTTCCACAAAACCTCACTTCAAAAATTCAAACCTTATTGATTCAAATTGACGACTTACTCTCTGCCTCTCTGCTCCCATGGCTAAAGGACAGCTTCCTCTGCATGGGCCAGTAAGACCCGTCGTCCGCAGCTAAGCTGGCGCTGCTGTCCCAAGGCATGAAGCCAACTTTTGACTGCGATGAGGACCCGCTGTTGCTCTTGGACACCCCCTCGCCCACACCAGTGAGACTTGAAGGCTGTTGTAGAGACGGCGTCTGGGAGCTGGCTCTCAAGCTCTCATAGGCTGGTGGTCTCCGGAAGCCACTGGACGGGTACGTCCACAGCAGCGGGCTGTCCGAGGAGGGCGGCTTGTATGCTGGCAGACCGTGGGGTGTGTGAGAGCGGAGGTGTGGGCGAGAATGAGGACGCTGGGAAGAGGATAGTGGCGTAGGAGTGGAGCTGGTGCTGCTTTGAGGTGTTTGGCTGCTAGTGGTGGTAATGCTCTCTATCGGTAATGAGTGTGGCCCTCCTTCCCTATCTCTATCTCTGTCTCTTTCTCGGTCTCGCTCTCTGTCCTTATCCTTGTCTCTGTCCCTGTCCTTGTCCTTGTCTCTATCTCGCTCCTTGTCCCTGTCTCTACCTCTGTCCCGGTCTTTATCCCACTCTCCTTTGTCAGACTTTAGAAGGAAGCTCACACTCTTGCCCTCCTTGCCCGTACTTGAGGTTTGCGTCTGGACGGTTGCCTGGTTGGATGACTGAGAGCTGCTCTTGGTCGGAGCAGGGGAGTCTCCTCTGTCTGGCTTGCGGTAGTGATGATAGTGCGAGGGGCGATGGTGAGGATGGTGGTGGTGATGGGAGAAAGGGGAAGTGGATTTGGAGGAAGGAGGTAGCGGTGTGGAGTGACTCCTGGCTCTCAGTCCGGGAGCAGGGCCTAACTGGGAGTCTCGGCTGTATTTGTCCTGCTGTGACGTGCCACCTGATGATTCCTTGGACCCTGACAGGGAGGTGGAAACATTAGAAGAAGCCGATGAGGAGGTGCTGGCTTGAGCTGTCGCAGTGGATGTTTGAGTTTTAGCAGAGGTGGACGTCTTGTTTTGAACCCCAACGCCGCTGGAGGCAGCTGCAGGCTGAGGAAAGGCAAGCAGTGGGGGCCGATGCTGCAGGAGATTGGGGAACGGTGCCGGGATCTTCGTGTTGGACTCGGATTCGGATTTACCTCCTTGCAACAGATAAGGAGTTGGAGCTCGTGGTGTGTGGGGACTGGTGGACAGGACCTGGGGTACAGGAGTGGAGGATGCAGAGGAAGGCAGCGGAGAAGAATGGGAGATGGACACCGTAGCTTTGGGTTTGGAGTAGGACGGAGAAGAAGATGAAGGGCGAGGGAGAGAAGAACTACTGGAGGACGAGGTGGTGACGTGGTAGTGCTTTGAGGCTTTAAGCTTCTCATGCTTTGGCGGGAGGTGCCTCTGGGACTCTCTGTCCTCCTGATGAGGGTATTTCATCTCCTCGTAGATTGCCTCACTCTGGTCTGAGTCAGAGTCGGGCGTGGTGGCCACGGGAGTGACGGGGTGGGGCGTGGCGGTCTGGCTCTCTCTGGTGAACACTTGGCCCACCATCTCTATATAGACTGGCTCATCCTCTCCATCTCCTGTCTGAATCTGAGAGTCTGCTGCCTGGAAGGGCAAGGGGGTGGCAGAAGGAGGCACACGTGGAGGAAGGGGGTCAAAGGTGAGCTGGGTACTGGGACTCCTTTTGGGTTTCAAAGGAGGCACCTTCTTTGCTCCAATCTCCCCAGAGTCGGACTTCTTCATTGCTGCAAGACATAACAAGTCTTGTTAAAATATGAACCATTTTCAACAGAGAATGTGACCAAAACACACTTCTGCTTACAATTTTTCTTCTCTGAATGTTTTCCCTGTGAGTGGGAGCTTGAAGAGGGTGGCGGGGTCTCAGGAGGTCCTCTGCTATCAGCAGACGAGGAGCTCAGGCGGGTACTCGGATGGCGTTTGGGTTTGGCCGGGGGGCAGCGGCCGCCGTGCTGCGACTGGGTGTCAGAGTAATCTCCGTTCTCGAGGCTCATATCCCCCGCACCAACAGCGTGGCAGGACTGCGAGCGGGGCGCCATAGCCGAGGCACAGGTGTGAGGGGACAGGTCCTGGGACGCCGGCATGGTCATGAAGCCCATCCGGAAGTGCCGTCGGAAGGAAGCCAAGTCTCGCACTTTTCCCACGGTAGCCGACGGGTCGTTCTGAGTGGAGCTGCAGAATAGGGTGTGGGAAATGACGGAAAAAAGAAATATTGAATCAAGGGAAAATCTAAGTTAAGTAAAAAACATGTTTCTTTCATTTGTACTGACTTGTCTCTTATGTTGCTCTCTCTTTCTCTCACTCTCATTGCTCTTCAAAAATTCTCTTTATGTTGAAAAAATGCCTGCAGGGGTTTCTCTGCAAAAGGGAAAGCTGTGCCTCTCAAATGCTTTTCCTTTTGGTTGAACTCAGAACACCCAGAGTTACAAATTCAGTTCCCTTGTCTAAAGCAATTTAGAAATGTACACTACCCTTAGAACCCACCTGTTTTCTTTACATGTTTACGTCCAGAACACAAACCTGTCGCCTGAGCAGAGGATCCCCCGAATCATTTTATCTGTTACCGTGGTAACAGCCGCGATTCTTGTATTTGATGCTTCAGTCTTTGAAACAATCAATGTCAGACAGCCATAAATAAAGCAGACGGCAGATTTATTTATTTGTCTGCTATAGTAAAACAATGATCAGACCTTTAATAAGTTGACATACATATCAACACTTGCTTACGATAAGGTTTTCAGTTTGGATTTTGGTTTAGGTAGAGCAAAACAGACTAAAATAAAACAAAATGATTATGGATAGAGAGGAGGGATTTCAGATTAGCTTGTCAGGTCAGTGGTTCAAACTGTGAAAGCAGTTTCTTCTTCAAAACTGTGAAGATTGGTGCCCCGCTGAGCTAACCAAAGGTTTATAAATGTGTTCTGACAAGCCTCTGCTTGCTTCTTTGCTTCATAAACAGCCACTACTGTTGGGTAGTGTGCTCTTCAGAGGGGGTGTTACGCTGCTTCACCCCTCATCAGCATGAGACAAGTCCCTGTGGTCATTATCGACAGGGTTACTGTGAATATTCAGGGCTCAAGAGAGTGAGAGTCTTTCTGTTTTTGGAGTTGCTCACATACAAAGCTTTGCAGAAGGGTTAGCAGCCCTGAAGGTTTTCCACATTTTGTCTTGCTGCAACCTCAAACTTTAATGTGTTTTATTGACATTTTAAGTGATAGACAAACACAAAAAGGTACACAAGTAGCAAGTGGAATCCAATTTTTTTTTATTCACAAAGAAGAAATCTAAAAACCTCTAAATAAAATCCTGTGTGATCAATGCCTTGGAACAAACATACTTATTAAATAGACTCCACCTGTGTGGAGTTTAATCCAGCGTTCCTGTGAAGGCGTCAATACACCACCCAGTTCTACACCACCCAGTTCTACACCACCCAGTTCTACACCACCCGGTTCTACACCACGAAGTTCTACACCACCCAGTTCTACACCACCCAGTTCTACACCACCCAGTTCTACACCACCCGGTTCTACACCACCAGGTTCTACACCACCCAGTTCTACATCACTCGGTTCTATACCACTCGGTTCTACATCACTCGGTTCTACACCACTGGGTTCTACACCACCTGGTTCTACACTGCCCGGTTCTATACCGTCCAGTTCTACACCACTCAGTTCTACACCATCCGGTTCTATCGTCTTTCACAGAGTTTTCTTCGAGAACATTGGAAAACAAACAGTATCATGAAGACCAAGTAACACAGTAGCTGAGGAGAAGTTCAAAACAAATTATTGGTCACGAAGCAAATTTTGATCATCTGATGTTAAAACGGTACCACTTAAAAACTACCAAGGCACGATCATTCACTTAAAGTAACAACAGAAACACCAAGTCTCCCATGATTTACTCTGGAGGAGCTGCAAAAACCCACAGCTCAATTTAATTCAGTTTACTTATATAATGCCTTTTTATAACAAAGCACCTTCATTCAAACTGGTTTATAAGTTTTTCTATCAAGTCACTGTCTTGCAGCAATCCCTCTTACTGAGAACGCATACAGCGACAGTAGAGAAGGAAGAAACCTCCACCTGCTGGGTCAGATGGAAAACTTTGTTAATAGAATAATAACCATTAGCTGCTCACTACAGAAATATAGCTCTAAAGTGTTTTATGCATGTTTTTTGTTTGTTTTTTTTGTTCTTGGGAGAAAAAGGCTGTAGAAGTCTACTTTGCAGTTTGTCGGGAAAAGGGCAAACGCGTGAAAAAAAAGGTGCTCTGCTAAAATGAGACCAGGGTTTGAGGTGGAAAACTAACACTGAAAATCACCTTGTAAACAACACCCACAGTGAGCCATAGTGGTGCCATCGTCATGCTGTGGGGAAGCTTTTCTGCAGTAGAGACAGGAAATCTGATCCAAATTAATAGAAATGTGGACAGTGCTAAATACAGAGCAAGGAATGAAGAAGAAACGTAATATCCTGCAAACTTGGGGCAAGGGTTACAGTGTAATTGTTTCAATCAAATCAAATCTGTGTGTTGGAATGGTCCAAAGTGCACAATTAATTTCAAGAAAGAATCTTTCCTAAGACTTGAAAATTGAATTGGCTAATGCAGGTACAGACGTAACCCAAAACACTTGGTTCTACAACCAAAAAAGCATGCATCATTTTTACATTTCTAACTACTTTGTATAAAATGACACATTTTAAGGAAGAGGAGACGTACAATGCCCACACAGAACCAGAGTGCCAGGCAATGGGAGCTGGCTGTTTGTATTAAACTTCATGAGCATCAACAGAAGGAGCGCTGAGGCTGCTCATCTCTGAGGGAATACACCGGCTCTTATCTTCCCCTTCTGTGTGAGGCAGTTTGCGCACATGCATGCGCTCTGTGTGCTGGAGCGCCAGAGTTCATTTGCATCTCTTCAAGAATGTTTGTGCCCTTGAATGCCTGTGGAGATGTTCTAGTGACTCCTTGCAATCGACATAGATACTCGAAGGCCAAATTTAGCTCAGGACAGAGGCTGAGCATCTCCCTTCTCGCTGCTTGAAGAGCTCTTTTTTTTTTCCTTCTCCCCTTGTTTCCTCTAATGGCAGGAGCTTCAAAACGAGACCAAAGACGGCTCTTCAAAGAGTATGACGGCTCATGCCTTTTTTATTTGCCCTCCCTTTATTGCGGCTTAAATCAGCAATCTGCTGTAGCTAAGGTAGAGATAAATCAGAAGATCAATAGCCTCCTCATTTGTGATTTTTCAATTTAAAAAAAAAGCCAGAAGACAAGAAGAATAAGCTGATTCTACATACTGAAAACACAGACTGGGGTTAGAGGGCTTTTCACATGGCTCTTTATCTTAATCATACTCCAACTAAAAATGTCTTCTTGACAATTAATTGGATTGTTTGGAGGAGCATGGTGGTGATCTTTGGTTACTGTGGTCTGACTGTTATGTGGAAACCAGTTTGAAAACAAGACTAGAACAGATAAACCAAAACCAATGAAAGAGACGTTCTAATAAATCCAAATATCTAACAGGAAACTCAAGAAGCTCGGATTTGGAAACAAACAAAGTTCCCTCGAACGTCTCCACGCTGTTTCATCTTGGCCTCCCAAACTTCACTGTGTTTTTATGAAACTGGTTGCACTTGAGTTTATCAGCTGGCATCAGTAATTTCCAGTCTCACATCTACTAAATACATTTTTACATTTTGTCTTGAGCTTTTAAATTCCTACTTGCTGTGCAAGTACAGTTGAATCATTTTTGATGGTTCCATTTTTATATTTTTACTGTTTTTACTCTTAGTGGTATTAGCTGTGTGTTACTAGCTTAGCGAGTTTGTTGAATAAACTGTCTAGCTGTGAGGTTGAATTGTTTTGTTAATAAACTTCTATATAGAAGAGAAGTTGTCTGCATTTATAAACGCAGCGCTAGCATCTTGCTGCTTCTGACTTATGACTTCTTCTATTATTTTAATGTATGACCAATAACTGAGACTGAACTATTTGGCTGTTTTCTTGATAATCAAGTGGCTCCACAATCTGGTAATATCGATCTAAATTACTAGTGTTATTAATAATTTGGTGTCATTTTTTAAAGTTGTGCTACACATTGTTGAATTGCATGCTCAGTTAATCATACAGCATACTTCATGTGTTCTTGTAGTAAACATTGCTGTGCTTGTTTGGTACATGTCGAACTGGGTTATACTGGATATTTTTTGTACAGATACATGTACTTTTAAACTCATAATTGTTCATCTTTGGAACAAAGAGAAACATCAACTTTAAAAACAAAACTTTTTATTGTTGTTGCAGAAAATCAGTCAGAGAAATAATCTATTATTCGCCCTAATGTCAAAAAGTTATTTTTTTTTTCTGTTCCATTCTGTTTTTTAAAATTCTGCGCAGATATTGTAGGAAAATGCAGAAAAAAAAAATACTAAAACTACTAGAGTTCAGTTCTGTAGTGATGCAGAAAGTCAAACCAGCCACAAGCAGCTCCAGAGCCACAAGTTGAACTCTCTCCTGTCCTAGTCAAAGCACACGACCTCTATTGTCATAACAACGTGAAACAATTACAGTTTAAAATGCTTTCACTGAGAGAGAAAGAGGTAGTACACTGAACGCTACCTCTGCTTTTGAGTGAAAAATATAGACTTTGCAGATTTATTTTGGATGATATTAATTCCAGTTGAAATGATTCTGCCTGTAGCAGCTAAGGCCCCATTTCTAATTTACTTTTCTGGATCAAAGTTTAAGTGTGTTTAAGCAGTTAAATCTAAAAAAAAAAAGAAAAGAAAAAGAAACGGTTTCGGGTCAAACTGCTACAGTTTCATTGACTCTTGTATGAAGCCGAGGGTGAACGTCAAGTATGCAGCTGTCCTCATTCTGTGAGGCCTTACTGACACAGTGCACCATGCTTATTTGCCGTTATGGGTTTTACTCTATTTCCATTGCCTTTCTTTGTTGCTGCTGTGGTTGCTTTATTTACAGTGAAACTTTTATCTTCTGTTTCCTCTTACACCACTGGAATATTGTTCACCAGCATGTGACCCTCAGATGAAGACATGTCCAGAAGCAACAAAAAGCAAAAAAAAATAAACTTTCTCATTCATGAGTGAGTAAACACAAAGAGAGTGACTTACTGAAATTAGCAAAGAGGATGCAATTCTGTCACTTTAACCATCAAAGCTGCTTCACAAATCTTTTTTTATTTACTGATTTTTTTTTCTGATCATATGGCTAAATGTTTTTAAGGGCATTTTATATGTATGTTGTCTGCTTATAACCTTTTAAAGTGAAGAGACATTTGCTGCTCTTGCTCATATTTCTGTGCTGGGATTAATAAAGCTTCGGCTGATAGCAAGGTTTTCTCCCACCAGTCGTCACAACTGGGAATAGTCTGTCTGCCTGTATTAGCGGCATAAGAAATCGACTCTATTTTTAAAACCCATACTGAAACTCACCTTTTTACCATCCTGCAGCTCTCCGCCGTATAATGTGATTTTTCTCCAGAGGCCCTAAGGATGTCAGACTTTGCACTGTCCTCGTCTCTTCTTCAGGATGTTGCCTTTCTCCATCCACGCCTCCCGCATCTGTCATTCCCGCTTTCTGTCCCCGTGGCTTCACATCCCACAAGGCTCTGCTTCAGTCGTTCATCGCTGACTCCGATCCGACCACAACGCCGGTCTCTGCTGCTGACATGTGGACCTCTACCTCACCGTTCGGGGTCACAACGCACTCGGTGGGACTTCTCCGTTCCCCCTCCACAAGCAAGCCGTGAACACAGAGCGCTCAGCTCCGCTGAGCTGCAGGTGACTCACATTTGAACGTCACGTCTCTCCTCTGACGCGCAGATAAACAAGATACGCTCATTCGCTGCGATGCAGTCGCTGTTCAACACAATACTGTCATGAGCAAACTGTCATGTGAGTGTGATGACAGAGGGTTATCGACACCCTCTGCAGGACGCCAGGCTTCACTTGTTTGTTTTTGTGACGGTGCATTTGCTGGCGTGTTCTCAGCCAACGGCTGACTCAATAAAACCAAAGGTAAAAGAGTGAAACTTTAAGCCCTCTTAAGTCTGATATTTAACAAAAACTTGCCGTTGATAAAAGCATCCTGAGTCATTTTCTTGCCTAGATGAACAAAAGTGGTCTAAAGATACCCTGAGACACACCAAGATCAAGAATGTCTTTAAAAGGCCGGTTGTGTCAGAAAGAACTGTTAAGATATTAATAAATGGTTGTCTCCGTATTTGATGAGTTCATCTCGAAATGAAATAACATTTCATATATTTTCACCTTCATGTAAACTGGTGCAATACAGGAAAAAAAACTGCTGCTATGATGGAAAAAATAATGCTTAAAAACACAACTGTATTCCTGAAGGTTATTTCTCAGGGGTGTCAAACTCATCTTCATTTTGGACCATATCTAAAATCTGAGTACTCTTAAAGGGTCAGTTGTGCCAGAATATACTAATAAAACCAATTAAACTGTTCCTTGTTATTGTTTCAGTGGGTTTTTTTTTTTTTTTTTTTTTTGTAATCAAAGTTGTAGATTTTGTGGTGCCAATTTAGAAATGTTTGTAAGAAGTTTTTGTGTGATGTTAAATGTGATGTTTTGTTACTCGTCATATCAATTGCGGGTTATAATTTGACATTAAGTAATGCTGAAGCAGCAGTCACTTAAACTCAATGTTTTTGACCAATTTTGAGAAACTTTGCATTATAAATAAGTAATAAAAAAAAAGAAATGTGGAGATTTGCTGATTTTGATTTGTGAAAAACTGTAAGGACTTATTGATGTAATTTGGAGTCTAGAGGGCCACATAAGAAGCTACGGTGGGCCAGATTTGGTCCCCGAGCCTTGAGTTTGACACAGTTGGTCTAGAGCAGGGGTGGGCAACTCCAGGCCTCGAGGGCCGGTCTCCTGCAACTTTTAGCTGTGTCTCAACTTCAACACACCTGAGTCAAATAATGAGGTCGCTAGCAGGACTCTGGAGAACCTGACTGCAGTTAGGAGGTGACTCAGCTGTTGGATTCAAGTGTGTTGGATCAGGGGGACATCTAAGAGTTGCAGGACACCGGCCCTCGAGGACCAGGATTGCCCACCCCTGGTCTAGAGGATCATGTCAAAACTTCCTGCAGGCCGGATTTGGCTGCAGGTCTTGAGTTTGACACATGTGGCCTAAGAGTACAGCTACAAAATCTTTCAATGTTTTTTTTTCTTCTTTTTTTTGTAATTTTATGAAACAGACCAAAAAAAAAAAAAACAAACAAAAAAAACATAACTATAGAGCAGAAGGAAAAGGATACATGATCTTACTTTTATAACCACCTCCCTCCTTTACTCTGCTTCTGCTAAATAGGTTCAGCAGAATACTATGAAGTGTGTGGCTGTATGACAGAATTAGTAAAAGTTTTAAGGGATATTAATGTTTTTGTTAAAACAGCAATTTCATATCTACTTATATAATAGAGCTTTTCGTTGGTTTGGACTCTGCCTTATCTCATCTTGAACTAAACACAGTATTTCTCACCTGGCGGTACACTTTTAACTTCTGCGTGAACTAAGGTGTAAACTCACATGAAACCTCTCTGACTTTATGAACTGCACTTGGAATAAGGATTTTAAAATTAACCTCTTTCACGCTCACTAAGAGGTTTAAGTTTCCTCCGAGCGGAGCCTCGCAGTAATCCCGGACATGCGGCGCTCCTGCGCGCTCAGCCACTCACCTTTTCTTACTTCCCTCTTGCTCTCTCTGCCTCCAGTCCAAGCGACTCTTTCGATACAGCAGGTTCATGTCGCTGCAGGATCGCTCCTCCTCGCAGCCTATCACAGCACAGTGTAGCCGCTTGCTTCGCCTCTCTATGTCACGCAAGAAATGCTCGACTGCCACATCCTGGGCAGAGCCAGAGCTCATGGTACAGGAGAAGACTCTGGAGGAGCGGGTGTACGCCAAAGGCAGCTCCCCTCTAAAAGAGAGGGAAACAAGAACAATGTGTATGAGCATGAATCATCGAAAGAACTTCGTCTAGTAGCTTCCCGGGCTGATTGAAGCCGACAAGACTGACAGCTGTTAACGCACAGCGTGTGGAAACAACAAACGAAACCCAAGTGAAACCAAATAATTAGCAGAACGTGAAGAGAGGCAGTTCATTACAATGCTTATTGGGTTATATTAAACCACCCTGTCCGTTACTGCAACTGACAGCCGTCACAGCGGGGAGACAGCCATGCATGCATGATGAAAGTTGCTGTTTTGTTTACCCCGACTGCAAGTGTATTTATACTTTCATTATCCAGTTATGAATATTTGAGTAAGCAGGGTAACTCAGCTGCAGAGCAGCTTTGGCTGCAGGCCCTGGGATGGCCTATCTAAGCTTGCCTGCTAAGCAGACAGTAATGTGGTTTGTCATATGTAGCGCATGCACAGCTTCCCATTCACGTTAACCCTATGAGAAAACAGGCTTGTTGTGGGGCAGATATTTGAGAGTCCAACCGTGTATTCATGTCAGAGGATGTGAGTTTGCAGCGCAGTTGGTGAAGAAAAGAACAGCTGTCAGCTGATGCAGCATGATGCCAGTGTTTTTCCATCAGAAATAGAAACAGAGTTCAGATGTGTCTTAGTGGAAAACGGCGAGGTGTTTTCGCTGGTTCCACTTTCCCGAGCTGCGCAGAATCTTTTGACAAGTCAATCTGAATATGTTACCGGATGTGGAAGCTTGTGTGATTAGAAGACTTAGCGATGCAAAAAAGTCTTTTTTTCTTCTTTTTTTTTTCTCACGCAGATAAAACTTTTACCGAACATTTGAAACCCTCCATTTGACAAACTGAAAATAAAAACCGATGCTTGTAAGTTGCAGAGCTACAAAAAACAAAAAAAACAAAAAACTTTTTTGAAATCCTTTCATATCATAGCAACTACAGAGTATACTTTAGGGATTATATGCGGCAAGATACACTCTGTAATGTAAAATTGTGAAGTTGAAGAAAAACTGTGCATGGTTTTCAACATTTTTTAATAAAAATCTGAAAAGTGTGGCATACATTTATGCCGCCCTGAGTCAACCCTTGATGCTGTTATAGCTGCAGTGTCCATTCAGTACTTTGCAAAACAGCTCAAAATCAGACTGGACGGATGAATTTTAGAGTCTTGTCACAAATTGTCTAATAAATTTAGGTCTTTACTTTGACTAGGCCATTTAGCAATGCAATAAAATATTTCACATTTGATTTAAACTTTCGCACAGGCTTACTCTGACCTCTCTGCATTATTCATTATTGTTGAGGCCTTTGTGGACCATCTGTAATTATACCACCCAGAAACGAT